ACTTGAAAAAAATTTTGTTTCCTATCTTTGTTCGTGAATTCCTCTAAGTTAACAGGAATTATGAGTCAATGGAAAATCTAAAACGAAAGACAAGCGAGATATTTTTACAACGATCATTCATCAATTAATCTTTAGTATTGTGTTTGTGTGTATGTGCGAGACACTGGGAAAAGTCCAGCAGGTGGCTGCCAGTTTTCGATGTCAATAAAATTGGCAATACTCCTATTAATTTCCGTGCGTTTGTTTGTACAGTTAGATCGATTGCCGCGCAACGTGTCGAGTGTCATTTATCATGGCACGCTTCTGTTATTTTTATTTTTCTATACTCTCCCGCGAATCTTAAGAACGTCGAGACGCTCCGATAATATCGCGGATAATTTGCGAAATATTTTGGACTAGGCCAATATTTTAAAACTGAGACTGAGATAAAAAAAAGTGCATACCGTCAGTGCATAAATTTTCTATTCCTATATGCTCCTCGAGTTGCGCACTTCGTCGCGCCAAGGACGTCGACTTTATCTTTTTTTCGCAAACGCGAACTTTGTTCTTTTAAATCTTATGCGAATAAATATTTTGTATTGTTAAAAGTTATATTATAGCAAACACACAGAGGAAGAGAGAAAGAGAGAGAGAGAGAAAGAAAGAAAGAGAGAGATTACATAGTTTCTTGGAGTATGGCAAGGAGAATAAAAGCGCATTTTTCCTACCTAAGGACGCTCATTTAAAACAGTTATCTTCATTACATCTTTCTTACACGCTTCGATGTTCCGGGGATAATGCAATTCACTTTGCAAATCGTCATGCAAAATCGGATTCTCGCTCGCTCGGATCCTCTTCCGAATGGTGCAGATAAAAGCGCCGCTCGTCCGCAATGCGACACTATAGCGTTATAACGCAACGACATGTGTCGCTTCTTTTTTCGACCTTTATCTTTATAATAATTTCGCCCTCCTCGCGTCATGTAATGCTCATCGACCAGCGTGGTCATCCATCCTGGATGACAGCTCCAATTCAAGGTCGTCGATTCTACTGCCATTGTGATTCTTTCCCTTCCCTCCCCGCCGTTGCAGCACGCGACTTGACATGCTCGTTCGAATTAAGCGACGTACGACACGCGTGTCGAAGCGCTCTCGATTGTTTGCGATTGTGTGATAATGGTCACCGGGCACCAATCCGACGTTGCGGAGGAGCTCTGCCGTTCGGAGCCAACAGGACGACATATTGATTTCCTTCGCAGACTGGACACTGGCTATTATCGATCCGCTAAAAAGTTCAGGGCTGTCTCTGGGAAAGAGGTCGGGCTCCTTCGATATCTCGAAACTCCACGGTATCGCTCGTTACCGTTTAATCAGTTATCGAATATCCCTTAGTTCTCCATTAATAATCGATTATGTATACATGTGTTTATAAGTACAGCTTATTAAGATCGCGTGTCGAAACTAGGTTTACTCAATATCGATTGGACTGTATGTGAAATTGTAATCTCAAATTTGACTTCAAAATAGAATTTCGAAACTTAGGTCAATTTGTCTGTTCACATTTTCGGAAATTTAACATCTGTTAATTTTTCACATATAAATCCGCTCATATTTTTTAATGTATAATGTTTTCGTTTCACATTCGTAAATTAAATATTCAATTTTTTAAACCAATATTCGCTTAATCAATTTGTCAAATGAATTAAATCAAAACTTTTAAAATTTCAGAAATTATATGCAGAAAATATTGATTATATTGATTAACACAATATTTAAATGATTCAAATAATATTACACATGACAAATTGTTAATTTTAAAGCACATCGGTACACAGAAATTTGAACAACGAATTCACTTATCCCATATATTTTTATGTATTCGCAGAGTATACACGTCGATCGATAAGAAACAATTGCGAATCACAAATTTCGCGGGTGATCGAAGAATGCTCGCCAGTCGGGAATCTTCCGCGCGTTATTATTTGAGGAGAGTAAAGAAAAGCAAAGAGTAACAGAGAAAGTGTAAGGGAGACAGAGGCACTGCCGTGAGATGTACTATCTTTTTTTCTTCCTTTCGTAAGGATACGTTTTGAGACGTGTAGCGTCGATTTTTCTGAAATTTTGGATATACTGGAGTAATCTGAATTAAATGACGTCTTATATTTTTTCAAATGTACTTTGTCGCAGATTTAGGAGATGCAACAACCTGACAGTGATGTAATTTCGACGACTCGGTTTTAAGATCGAATATAACTGATAAAAGATATTATATAATGCGTAACGAATGCGATGCACACATGCATGAATGCATGCAGTCAACAATGCTTGTACTCGTCGTTGCAATGACGTGCAAAACGTAACGTAGCTGGATATAATACAACGCGTAAACGTACATTATACTTGTTGTACAAAGAAATTTTTCGCGATATCATTTTATTCATTTTCCTAAATAAAATTTGAAACTTTGTAACATTTAACACGCCAGTATTCAGTATATAGGATAACATTTTTATTATTTTTCCACTAAAATATTACAAGTGGCAAAATAATAATTCAATTTTTTATTTTTCTATTCTATAATTTAAGTAATAATCTAAATAAGAATATCGAGTTTATCTTCTAAATCTGCACAGAGAATGTGAAGTGTTTATAAAAATATATATGTATCTTATTTTGGGAATACTCTACAATATCCAAAGATTGCAAAAATCGAATAGTAGCGAGCTCGAGACGTTTCCTTAGATCTCTGTGAATTTAGGTACTAACGTTGGTGTTAGATAATCGTGTGCCGTGTGCCGAGAAGTATTTATATTTCGTGCAGTCACCTACATACACGTTTGTCGTTGGTTTGCTGTTGTTTTGCCAACACGTGAAGATTTTTTTTTTTTCTTGGATTGTTGCGTACGTTTTTCGCCTTTATTATTGATACCACAGTGAGAGCAACGTTACCGTTTTCACATCGAGACTTGCTTCCTTCCGCTTTCCCGTCTTTCCTTTCCTTTTCCAACGAAATATCCGTCGAACGTGAGCACGCACGCACACATACCTACACATCTCTGCTGTGCATCCTGATGTTAGTCGATTTCATTTTTTCACAGAAATATGATTTTCTTTTTGAAAGTAAAATACAACTGTACATTTTCTGTAATGAAATTTATCGAACTAATATTTTGATTATATGTATGTACAAACTCTTCAAGTGCCAGATATTGATATATTTAAATTTTATTCAAATATGTTTTGACAAGAAAAATGACAAATCCTATAGGAACGATAAATGTAATTTTATGTTCTAATTAATGATTGCTTTTTTGTATAACATTGCACATCATCAGAATGCATGGACATGCACATTTGTACACACATATACAGTAGGTATTAGAAGACGCGAGTTTCTCTCAGTTCTTAATGAATTCGCTAATAAGATGTTAATTTTTTTCTCAATAAAGATTTGATGGAAGATCGAATTAGAAGAACTTAAAATTATTATAAAAAATAAATGAATCTTCATGAATTATAGTTTAAGAAAAAACAAAATTCAATTTCTCAATTAATTTTAAGTTAAATTCGCTTTAACAGGAAATTTTAATTCTCGATTTAATTATATACCAAGATATTTAATTTATAACGAAAATTAAGAAATTATTGATTTTTAAAATTGATAATTTTCGATTGAATTGGCGTTGAAAACATCCGATTCGATTTGGCAGGAATTCATAGCTAAGAGAAAGTGCGCAATTTCCAATACTTATATACAGAACATTTTATCACAAGTCCGAGATCGCATAGCTTGGAAATATATTTAAAAGAACAGAAAAAAGATAGTTTGATTTAAATATACGATTAAGTTAAATTTTTCGAAGATATGCGATTTTGGAACACATGAACAAATAAAATATTCTGTACACTTGTAATATTCTCGCTCACATACATACACACGCGTATATACCGATTGATGTCGAAACACAGAAGCGCATTTTTGATCCGATCGTTCGTATTTACATATGCGCGAAGATCGGTTGAAGAGAACTCGGTCCCTCGCTCACTCTGCCGTTTGGTGTTGCGTGCTTTTGGTGTTGGTAGAGAGCTGCTCGAGAGCGAAAGACCGTCGGAGCCGAGAATCTTCTTGTAACGCGAAACGCAATGAAGAAGGCATATTTTCGCCGCGCATGCTCTTCGTGCCGACGAATCGACGATGTAGAATCGACGGTTGCGTATATCGCGGAATTCGTCTTTGCCATATCGATTCCCGGGACATTTAATGATCGTTGCCATTATATCTACGACCATTAAGACAATCAAGAGGCAGACGAGTTTTCAAATATTTATTCCGATTGGCGATCCATAATGGACATCGTGAATTGTACGTTAAAACACACGTTGCACGAAGAAAATTTTCTTATACACACACACAGACACCTACACCTAATTATGACATAACATTTGCTATACGTTATCTTTCCTTCCCAATTCCATTATCCTTCCTAAAATGAGAGAAGTATATCATTGAAGTGAACGAAAGTTATCAGATTTTTGTTCGTTGCATCTTTTTCGAAAAGAAGCTATAAATATATTCTAGTATATTCTTCGATGACTTTCGATCGCTTCAAAAATAGGTGTACTTGTTTGTGAATTATTGCTTCACGAAGGAGATGGCGTTTTATTTTTTTCGCGGTATCAATATCGTGACAAACTACGAGTAAGATATTTACAGACAATAATTCTTATGCTTGACATAGAAAATATCTGTGGAAAATATTTGTACAGATTAAATTGTAAAATTGTTAACGTTCGTACAATATTTCGCACGAAACACGAAATGGAGCATTCGATCGTACAAAACCTCGTTTCGCTTCTTTCAGTTTCTCTTTTTTTTCTTCTTTAGAAAATAAGAAATATAATCTCGCCGTCGGTGCGTGTCGCATTTAATTCACAAACATCCGCCGCCTTAGATCTTCGAGTGTCGCTGCGTTCGACGTCGCATCAACATTCCGTAACTAACGGTCATTTTCGCTTTTGCAGGGTACCACCGAGCTACGTGTACCAGTCGCCCTACCTGGCGGCTGCGGCGCCAGGTGGTCTGGTACCGCTCCAGACGACGCAGTTGAGCCACGCAGCCGCCGTCGCCGCGGCATCGCAGTTCTACGAGTACCAGAACGCGGCGGCAGCCGCCGCGACTTACCCGGGCACCTCGTACAACTTCGCCGAGGCGTATCCGTACACCACCGCGGCCGCGGCTGGTACGTGTTTGAATAGTGTCCAGAGCAAGGGTAGCAACTATCCGATACACCACCACCAACACCACCAACAGCAGCAACAGCAAAACGGACCCGGTGCGACGTTGGCGCATCAGCAGCAACGGTTGGAGAAAGCTCTCCTACCGCAATTTCTGCCGTCCGTGCTGCGTGATTACGGTAGAAGATCTTAAAGATAGGGGAGGGATGAGACAAGAGGGTTGCGCCGCACTTTCCTCGGGGGCCTGTTCGTAGTTGCTTACTCGCAAAGCGGGGTTCTCACAGGATCTGGTTCTCGTTTTCACAAGGGGTTCGGGGAAGGGGGGGGGGATAACAACGGGGATAATGCGAAGGGAATTGAATTGGGGAAACGCGTAACCTGATGTGTGCAGCTTTTGCTACGCACCAAATTATGCATGGTTAGGGGAATAATAATTCCGATGTCGGGGATGTATGTCGTCACGAAGCGAATGCAATGAAGTATCGCTTATTCTATACACACACACATACACGTACACCTTGCGTTTTCCAAAAGCCTTGAGCATTTCCGGACGGATCCTTCGTGGGAATCCTGCTACATCTTTTGTGTTGATATATACATTTCGCTTTCTTTCAAATTCGAACATTGAATATTTTGCAATCCTCGTATCAGTATCAATTAAGCAGAGGCAGTAAGTTTAAAGATTCTCAAACTACAAGATAGAGAATCTCACTTTTCCTATTATTTTACATATCTTTATTTTTAAAATAACATATATAATTATTTTATAAAATAGATATGTAAAATAATAAGAAAAATGAGATTCCCTATTATGTACATATAGATATTTCTTATATTAACATTATACGTTCGCGCACGAAATCTCTTCATTGTTCGACGCACAAAAAATGGATGAACAATGAACAGGAGAAAATATTGCATGTGCTTCATGAACTATAAAATTGACGCATAATATGTGTCAGTCTGTCTGCGCTGTGGTGATGGTGGCGGTGTTCTCGCGGTGAGTTATGGTGGTCAACGAGAGAAAGCACTATCCGCTTTACGTATTACAAGCGAATAGCACTGCAAGGAGAAAACTATAAGGCACAAAATAAAATTTACAACACGCACAAATTGCCTGCGTGTGCTTTTTCTGTGATTTGTTATGTATCAAGGAATTATGTATCAACGATATTTTTATTTTCGAACACGTATGTTGGATTTGTGCTATCATCTCTCGTGTAAAATTTTGGATGAATTTAACGAGAATTCCGTAATGAAAAAGTTTCATTCGAAAATGATTATAAATTTAAATGTTACACGCATTAAATAACACATGCAAAATGTTCATGGGAAATAATTTTCTCGTTACAGCTAACGCAGCCGCGGCGGGTTACGTGGGACCGTACACGTATGCGACTCTGCCAGGTGCTGCAGGACTGCCGGCAGCGGCAGCGGCGGCGGCAACGGCAGCTGGAGCAGCTTTCCCGGGCTTACCGTATCAGACAACACCTCAGGAGGCCAGATTGCAATAAAGCTTTAACATTAGACCGCCGACGAGATAGTTGCAGCTGAAGCCTTCTACGAGGCAGAAACGGGGCGACAGAGGAGCTGCACGAAACACACGATCCCGCGATTGTCGTCTTCGTGGGATCAGCTCATCATCTTCCTCGTTATTAGTTATTTTTCGAGATTTCTATATGTTCCTGATCACGTCTCGCGAATGTACGTATATCGGAATACCGTTCGCGAGAGCCGCAAAGAGGCGAAGAGGATGAGCTTCGACAGGCCTCCGTCGGAATTGGCGACCCACAATTTCTCGCTAACAATTTCTTACTCTTCCCTTTTCGCCTCCTCCCTCCCGATCTAATCTCTTCCTCTCCCTTCTCCCATAGAGCCGACACTGGCGCGCTCGACCAACATATCGCGGAACTTTAGAAAAGACGCAACGATTAGAGTTACGATTTTTAATTATTTATAACGAGCTGACGCAATCGCTCGTTCGGGAAAGTGATCCTCGACATGCGAATGATTCGGAACTCGAGAGCCGAAAAAGAGGCTTATTGAATGTATTTTGAACTGTATTCAAAAAGCTATGTGCGCGCGAACGGCTTGTTAGCTTTCGAACCTAGCGCTATTTTAATATTTGATTTGCATCTCAAAATGTTACGACACAGGGCGATGTATTGAAATGTAATTGCACGTTACGATTTTTACGTAACTTGATATTTAAATTCATCGAGCATATTATAATTCGTTGCTCCTATACATTTACGTCGGTGGTTCCTAAATCAAACGAATCATTCGCGCGCAACGACTTCTGTAAATCTTAACGGTGTCGTTCGAGAAACTTCTCGTTAGAGAAGAACACTCGTATAACTATGACACACGATAATATATCTTCGGCAAAGTTAACTGAATGCGCTAAAAATATCGACGAAGATTAATGCGAGAAGTCCGTAATAGTTTTTAGAATCAGTTATATAGTTCAGAGATGCGCGTTTTCGATGAAAATGTATTTTAAATTTTAGTTAAATTTTAAGTAGACCCTAAAAACTTAATGATAAACAAAATTTAGCGCTGTAAGTTGTTAAGTTATATTTTCATGCGTTTTTCAATGAAGAAAAAGATCATGTTTGTAATAGATCAACTTTTAAGATGACGCTTAGGAAAGCGAGAGACGAAATTTATAACTCCTTGATGAATAAGAATTTTCTATCGATTTATGTATGTGCATATGATGTGTACATACACAAATATATATATAAAATTATAATTATTATGTAATTATTAATTTTATATATAAAAGAATTATATATTATATATATTATATATAATATATATAATATATATAATATATATATCGTTCTTCTATATTTATGTATATATATATATGTGTATGTACGCATGTATGTATAATTATAATTCTTTTACTTCAGGGATCGATTATATGTAGATATCGTCTATAAATATTTATACATAGAGAACGTTGTAATAACAAGGTATATCTTCCAAAATACTTGTCTACCGATATATTAATTCGTGCGCACTACTTGTTTCGGCTCTCTGTTGCTTATCAGAACATTATTTTACTTACATATAAATATATATATATATACCGATATTTATTACAAGCTATAAAACGCGTATTACTAGTTGAGATATTAACTAATTTTACCGAGATAAAATCATGAATGACTTATTTATAGAAGGAAAATGGTCGACGCGATATACGATTATCGGAAACATCTAATCTAGCCGCGGTGGCCTTAAAATCGCACATCAGCGAACAACGAAGTGTCTTACTTTCGAGGCCTTGTTGTGTTAATTAACTAGCTGTACTAAATCAAGTAATCATTGACCAATTTTATGGCGATGCGAACTCGCGGAGGATCAAGGGAGTAAATTGATTATATTGATAAATCGCTTTCATTGATACAGAGCGAGCTTAACATGTCTTATCGCTATTAAAAAAATAATAATTTTTGTATCGATTAGCAATTTTGATGAGAGCATCTGTTTTAAACGTGAGCGTACGTTTCGAACATTTTGTGTTCCGCCTGATTATCGGCGGTAATTTTCTAACACACTGAATCTAATCGATTTTTTCTTAAAACTCGGAAGAAAATGTACATTCGTCTACTCTTAGTGATCCAGTGCCTTAATTAGCACAGTCGAGTAGCCGTAATGATTAGAAACTAGTCAGCGATTCGTTAGTGCAACGCTCGACGCGCTAACTCGTGTACAAGAGTGACGCTCAACGAAAGGATGAGGAGAGTTAAGGGAATATCAAAAAATGTTAATCAACTAGGATCGGGTTATGAGGAATGTCGTTGTCTAGTCCCAAACCCTTTCAAACCTTAAACGAGGTTAACTCGGTTTGTTAGATTTGTAAGTAGAAGTTAATGGACACGCGAAAAAAAAACCAAAAGCGAAACTTTTTGTAAAAAGTTAGAAAGGGAAAACGTTAGCAGGATTTAGTGTTAAGTATTATTAAATAACGTAATAGAAAAATAAATTATTATATTATTTCATTATTATTGATATTACGTTTTATTATTATTATTATCATTATTGTCACTATTAATTATATGACATTGTTCATGTACTTAACGAACGGATGGAATGTATACGTGATTAAAGAATTTGTTATAAAAATACGCTAAGATAAAGAGAGAGAGAGAGAGGTTTCCACCACAGGAAGAGAATGGTAATAGAAAATCCGATCTACGATGAAGATGCAAAAAAAATGTATTCTAATTATGGATACGATCATTTCTTTAAATATCCTACTCCCATTGTATATATAGCTTAATTATATAAATAGGTTGTAATATATATTGCCTGTTATCCTCAATACTATTAATATGCGCTCTATTAATAAAGTCACGAAAACCGAAAACAAATATATTGTCATTAAGAGAGAAACTGCGTTTTTGTCAATTAATCATGCATATCCGTAACTATTAAAAATAAAATACTAAACTATCGCTACTAATGGCACGAAGTGATAATTTTACACTCGCGTTCCCACAAAATTTTAGAGACAATGTAATTATAACAATATAATTGTTGCAACAGATTAGACTGTTATTAAGTAAGTTTGTTATTAAATCAATAACAAATTTTTCATTACGTTCAATAGAATTATTATTTTTCATTATTAATTTCTAATTTAATAGTAGAATTACAAATTAATAATGTAAAATTAATAATTTAGCATAACACCCAAATTACAAATTACTTCAAGGCAATGGATTTGTGAGAGATTGTATTATATAATTTTTTTCTTTTCAATTTAAATTTTTGATCTTTTAAATAAATTATAAATATAAAAATAAGATTAATACATTCAAATATTAACAAGTTTATAAAAATAATATGAAATATTAGTGTTGCGTAATTAAATATTCATAAAAATGTTAATCTTTACAGATATCTAGTATATTATGCAACACTAATATTTTATATATTATTTTTATGAGCTTGTTAATATTTGAATACATTAATCTTATTTTTATATTTATAATTTATTTAAAAGATCAAAAATTTTATCAATAATTAATAGAAAAAAAACTTATATACTCGATATATAGTTTTTTTTCACAAATTCCAAATCCATTACCTAAAAATTAAAATATTTTAAGACTCACCAGTCTTTAGTGTGCAGCAACGGAGTTGTAATATTAATCTGTAAAAAACAAATAAATCCAAATATTAAAAAGCAGTTTCTAAAAAAAAAAATATTTCAAAAAATAAATATTACATGTTAAACTTTTTATATGCTTTCTTTTAAATAAAACATTAAAAAGGATTATATAATTTAAAAAAATGGGTAAATAAATTCAATTCTCTCCTTTCATACTGTTTAAATAATTTCAAATCAATTTGTCTTAAACATTTTCAAATATATTGAATATATTTATTTTTTTTCAATTTCTAATATATATTATTAACATTGTATCAAATATTTTGAGTATCTCAAAATAAAATTTAAATTCCCTATATTATTAGATTGTATCTCACAGACTGATAATAAAATAAAGCATCACATAAATGGACAATCATACTTGAATAAGAAAAAGTAGAGTATAAATAATATATATGATATAATATAAAATAAAAAATAATAAATATATATAATAAGTGCAGATCCGATTTTAAGCTCGAATTTGCAACGTTTACGGTACGCAAGAAAGGACGTCGCGATTCATTTCTTCGAAAACAGCATGTAATCATTATTACACGCCTATGGTACTCGAATCTGAGCTTAGCGCAATTACACCGACGGATCTAACCCTCAATTACAAGATGCTCACCCACGGTTGCCCCGCCGTTTGCCTGCTGCCACCCCGGGCCTGCTCCTCCTCTCACGCTTCGTCGTTGTTCCGGATTCCTGGCAATCCTGGCACTAATTGTAAACACACTGTGCGTGTGGCGCGCGCACACACACATATACACACACACGCAATACTTCGCGGAGCAGGTTAGCCATATCACTCGCGTACCGCTATATCTCTCTCTCTCTCTCTCTCTCTCTGCACGACGCTCTCGTTGATCGCGCACGACCGCTGATCGCGCCGAACGTCTCGCGTAAACTCCGGAGAGAACGGAGGATCAACGCGCGGAAATCTCGCTCGCGCAAAATCACGCCCGATGCGCCCGTGACGGTCAACCTCACGGCGACGCGCGACAGACCCGCGGCTTCGCGACTGTTTACCGTCACGGCGACGCTGCACCTGTTGCTCCCGCCTGTGCTGTCGATCTGCACTTCGAATGACCGTCGAGGAAAAGTTTGCGTCTGGCGACGATCAAATCGCCTCGTATCGCGACGCGAGCGAATCGCGCGCGTTCGCACTGGAGGAAAAATCGAAATGTACGGCGAAACACCGCCGAAATACCGCTTCGCGAAGTACGATATCGGCGGGGGGTACGCGCCGCGCCGCGCCGTTTCGTCCCGTCGTCGCGTGAGACATTCGGACTTCGGGGGTTCTCTCGCGTCTCGCGAAATCGCCGATATTATTGTAGGATTCGTGTCACGCGATTGACGAGCGTCGAAAGACGAGGCCGATCGCGACGATACTTGTACGAGTGGAAGGCGTCCCCGGCGGGCCCGGCGCCGTCCGACGGAGTCAATCCGCCCCGCGTCCGCGACACTTTGCCAATGGCTTGGAAGTGACGTCACCGCGTCACTGCCCTCCCCCCCCCCGCCCCCGCCCTCCTGCGCGCCGCACGAGTCAATTTGGCGACTAATTCGGCCGCGAATTCGAAGCGCTCGGAAACCGCGCGATCGGGATTCGATGATCGAGAGCGTGCGGGACGAATTCTGCGGCACGCGGAATAATTAACGAGACATTGACACGTCGCAGCTTCCCGGCTTTCGTTTACGCGAGTCGATTGACTCTCGATTCGGCGACTCGCGTATTACTTTTATGCTGGCGGGCGAGTCGTGTTCAAATCGATTTGAAAGAGCGCGACGTGCAGAGCGATCGCGTCCCCGAATCCGAGCGTAGCTTTTAACGATTAATTTTACTCAATCAAACTCAATGACGGAAAGTCCATCTCAAATCTCAAGTGCCCTGAAAATATATTGCATGTTTATAATAAGTGTTGGCTCAAATCTAGATTCAACCTCCCGCATAAAAACTTGTTAGATATGTCTGATATTTTCTTGCCTATCAAATTGATTGGAGTGATATTGATGCAATAAATTTTATCGTAATATTTTTAGATGTAATTTTGTACTGGATATACCAGACTTCAAATGGCACAATCTAATAAATTTAATATTTATAGCTGCAGAGATATTAAAAAATTGAGTTAAATAACGCACGGTTCTCTTTCTTTCTCATGGCGGCTTATTAATAAAATAACGACGTTCCGAATAAAGTTTAGCTTTGAACAACTAGGCGCGAGTTGTGATTTTTTTAAAGATTCAATAAATAAAGTTTTTGAAACTCGAGATCGTTTCGATAGTTGGAAATCGTTAAGCATCAACAATTTCACGGAAGGAGGTATCTACGCGATTCGCGCATATAGATTCTTCAACATCGATCCTTATATATGCAATTATTCCAATTGATGGTAATATTAATCACGCTATTTTCACAACGTTTCTATCTTCGTCGCCGGACCGAAATACTGTTCCATCGGAGGAGATAGCCGCCGTTGTTCGGTCTCGTTATGCACTTTAGCATGGACCGCAACCAGGAGATGCGCTTGCTATCTTACGGTCGCCGGCGCAGTCGGATTGCTCGGGTGCCAATAATAAGATGTCAGCACCGGCATGTCTCTTTCGCGATGTATCCTTTGGATTGATGACGTTCCCGCTTATCATACGATTTGATAGAGAAATAGTAGGGGAACGTTGCCATTGACATACGAATAAGCTCAGTTATCCCGCGTTTATCCGTGCTAACTAGAGCGCTCGCAGCGTGGTGATTTCCAAGCTACCCGGTAGACGAGAGATTCGAGGATCGCGATCCAGAAAGGAATCGCGGCCCTTCTGAGTTCACGAGTCAAAGGTCAAGGTGAGAAATCCATTCTCGATTCGTACTCTTATTCCCGGTCGATATCGGAAATGTATTTTTGCGTTCTTACGAATTGTATTCTTACGAATTTTAAATGTTCTTACGAATGTGACACCTTCGATGTCAGCTATTATAGAAATTAAAAGTTAATTTGAAAAGTACGCTTTAAGAAGAGAGAGATTTAAAATTCATTTTTATTTTACGTAACTTTAATCTAAGGATTATTATTATTAATAATCGGAATATTTGAAAATTCTTATTTGTATCTTCAAATTAGAGATGATAAGAATTTGCATGAGGCTTTTATACATTGTAAAAATGCACAATAATATTTATTCGTGTAAAAATTATGCTGTATAAATAATCCATAGATTAGATAGAATGCTTATTTTAAATAAACTAGGAATAATTTTGTGGAAATATTAATAAATAATTAAATGATGTAGCTAGTGTCAATAATATTTTATATCTTAATAATATCTTAATAAAATAGGTAATACACAATATAATTTATTTAAATAAATGACTTAAATTTGGCTTCATAAATAAATAAATTGTATCTTTTCTTTTAAATAAATTAGTCGTAGTCTTCAATGAAAATATACATATTATTTTACGCGAGAAAATTTTTATCTTCTCTGAGAAGAAACGGAAATGCTATTAGTGTCTCCAACTTTGAGATTCATGCTTATGATAAATTACAATTACGTAACCTCAGGTAAACAGACTTACAATAACAGCGTTAGGCATCTGAACTGACGAACATAATAAGAAGTCAATTGTTGAAAGTTGTATTAATAAAATAATTATGTAGTCCTTCAATATAATAATTTACAATTGCAGAATATCTCTAAAACATTTAATAAAAAATTAGTAAAATATTAATAAAGTATGCTCTAAATCAAATTCATGAAGAAAAATAGCGTACAAATCTACGAGTAGATTTGAAAATGTGTATTTTAATTTTCTTCGTGAAATAAAAGAATATCGGATAAAATTCTTGTATAATCCTTCTCTTTATTCCGAATTTTAAACGTAAATAACAAAATTTTTAACGTGTTGATTTTATTATTTTGAAAATTAATATGATGAGTATTTCATTGACGAATGTTGACGCACAAAAGAATTACGTGTCAGATTTATTTGAATGATTTATTGGCGTGACAAGCTTAATTAGATTTGTAGATTAGATTGCTTACTGTAAATATTACTGACACCTGCGTTGTTACGAAGTGCAAAAATCCCCTTACTTTATTTCTTGTTATTTTTCCTGTTAAAAGGAAATTTAATGCGTAAATAGCTAAAGAATTCCTATGAAAGCCGACGCGGATGTTAGTGCATAATAATTTTCTTGGTTACAATTGTTACATTTATTGCGCTATCATATCTAAATTAATTTATTAAATCTATTCCTATGGATTCGCAAGTAATTGATAGAAGAGTGTGTAATTATATGTCTAGTTTACAGTGAAGTATATTTACGATCCTAATAATGATATGCATTATCGTTATTACGTGAAATTATAATTTCGATAAATGGCATACAAAATGAAGCTTAAAATTTCGCGCTACGCGCATTATCGTTCACTGTTTTCACTCACTTTAGGTTTACGGGTATTCGCATTGTAAACACTCGCGAGATTAGGTTAGCGTGGTTCTTGTGATTCAAAAAGTGAGTTGCGTAACGGATGCGTTTGCATATACATTGCATCGAAAAGACGTCATTGTTACTGTCGTTACATTATACCGAGGTAATTGCCAAGTGTGAGCAACGTGCGAGATTTATTGTCTTTATTAACGTATTAATAATTACGCGACTTACGATGAAAGATAACGTGGCCTTATCGCGTCCTGCAATGCACGCACGTGTCTCATGTTCATCAAATTCTCGCGCCACAATGGAGCATTAAAAATCGAACGCATCTGCAGTTATCGAGCAACTTGGAAACACCGCCAATGGCGTTTGCGGCCTCGTAATCCTTTTTTTTCTTTTTATACGCCATTCGATATAATATGTGTGTCGTCGTGTCGATATAATATGTGTATCATCGTCTAGACTTATGCGTGATTGAGACTGCAAGTCACCGTCATCGACTCCCGCTATCGTAATGACGGTGAGTTGTTTTCCCTCTTAAGCGTTGTATTTCACATATAGCTCATTGCATTAATTAGTATCGTCACGGCGCTTTTATCGCAGTACTTAATTCACTGGAACGCTCTCGTCAAAGTAGATGCAAAACAGCGCTGATCTGGTAAGGCTGACAGAAATCGTTTGGAATGAAAGGCGAGAATTTTAACGCGACTCGATTGTCAACACTGTAACCGTGTACAAATTTGTGTCAATTGTCGCAAATAAATCTTCATGCTTATTCATGTTTTTTTTGTACATTTATAACATCGCAGCTTATTAAATGATATCAAGCTTGAAGTCTAAAGATATCAGTAGAAATGGAGATAATAAATATAAAAAGATACCAATGAGATACATGTACCTGAAGGTTTGCAAATACTATATAAAACTGTCCTTAACGAGTTACAATAATCACTATGTTTACGTTTTAAAAATTCATTTTAAATTGGATTTTAATGGTATGTAAGTGTAAATTAATTTATACTTGAAAGAAGGAAAGATTCTGCTAATAAATTTTTTTTAGAGGCTACCGGAGGTATGAGTAAAGACTGTGGAATATGCGGGATCTATCCCAGATGCTTGCGAGCCACCCCGAAGACCTTCATCGCGGTGTACAGTTTACTGGGCACCGTCCAGGCGATGGCCTTTATCTACATCATCGTCACCCTGACGACTCTGGAGAAGAGATTCAAGATACCCAGTCGTACGACTGGTGAGTCTCACTCCTGTCATAATCACATATAACTAAACTTCACGACGAGGCGACTGATACTTCATTTTGCAAATATAACGAAGGTACACGTCGTTTACCGGATACGAAATCTACGCGGGGCCTTGCGATCGGAACTCTGTGTGGTGATCAACTAGTCTCGCGCGTCAACTAGGCGCGGCGTTTAAATTTCCGTTCAGAGAAAAACTCAGACGTAAAGTAAATTAATTATTCATACGCGTCACCGCGCGCTTTTATCTCGACACGGCCAGAACTTTGAACGTCACCTCGTCTTAATCGCCTATACAACCTCGAATCCCATTGCCGGCAAAGCCGAGCAGTCGAGCATCCGCGGGTATACTCGCGTTTAAGTACTCGTACTTTGCACACGTACGAATCGCGTTTCCGTGTGCGTCTATCTAGTAGGTAAGTAGTGTGTCGCAATCATAGAAGTGACAAATCTGTCGTCTAGCAACGAGCACTATATGTATATGCATTGAAGAGCGAAGACACGCGGATGTGCATTACACAATTTTGTAGTTGGCCGCGATATTCGAAATATTAACGCGTTTTGTAGAAAATCGTTTTCATTAATTCTAAAATAAGTTATGATTTGTATTTATAAAATTAGTTTTAAAAATGAAGTATATCTTTCTTATTTTTTAAATAATTCTCTAACACACACACACACACACACACATACAAGATTTTAATATTTCTCATAAAGGGATTTCAAGAATTAAAAGTAAGAAATCAGAAGATAATTGTCTACGAGTGATATTCACATACTGAAACGAAATGATAAGGTAATCTTTTGTTTACAAGATACCGCATACAATAAACGGAAATGAGCAAGCCACTTATATGTTAGCCTAAATCATTATATTAATTAAATATTTTTACTTAATTTAATAAAAATTTGTCTTTCTTTTAAAAATCTGAAATCTTTTTCAACGCATTTGTAATGACAGTAACGGAATTCTTTTATGCATATTTAAAATTTATTTGGCACTGGATATTAAATTTTATTTTTTGTCGAAGAAAATATTATGTTTTATATAACTATATATACAATTTTATTGCATGGAAGAAGACTGTCAAAATGCGAATGAAATGGAAAGAGACTTTTAAAGAGATTGAAAGAAATTTAAAGAGACTGATCGCTTCGAAGGGCTAAAATGAGTTTATCACATGTCCGTGTAATGTTCTCATTGTCATAGGGTTGATCCTTTCGGGTAACGAGATCTCGCAGGTCTTGTCCCTGATCTTGACCTACTACGGAGGATCCAGTCATCGGCCAAGATGGATCGCGATTGGGGTCGCGCTGAGCGCATTGTCCTGTCTCGTTTTGGCACTGCCGCACTTCATATACGGTCCTGGGAAGGACGCTCTAGCACTGACGACGGAATATCTGAATCAAACCTTGCTGAACACGACTACTGCCCCGAAGGACATCGCGATTTGCCCGCGTTTGGACCAGCTGGAGCTCTGCGACGCCGAAGCGGCGTCGAGCGTTAGTTACCTCCCTCGACTGTTGGTTTTTGTATCTCAATTTATCCTCGGTATCGGAACGACTCTTTATTACGGTCTGGGACAGACGTATTTAGACGACAATACGAAGAAGAAAAATACGCCTATGCTTTTAGGTAAGCAATGATTATTAATAACCGCAGCGCGTTATTTTCAATGAGCAAAAATGTATGTCACGATCGAGATCTAAATTTATCTTTGCTTGTAAATAAAAAATGTATGATTTATAAAAAGTAAATTAAGCGCTTCTTACTACTCACGTTGTAGTAGCTAAGCGTTTTTCTTAGCGAATCTGATAAGTAATGCTATATCTTAAGAGCGTGGAATTCAAGATAAGTTCTTGTCAAACGTCTTGCTATACTTGGAATGGAATATTTCGAAAATTTTATCTGATTTCTACAAATTGTGTTTTCTTATTGCGAGTATTTATAATTACGTTTCTAATAATAATTTTTCGCAATTTATTGCAATAGAATATTGTAGTAATTGTTGCATGACCGACGTGAATGGAAACAGGATTTAATAGCAATGAATTGCAATTCTGTTTGTAAGGCTTTACGTTCGCTTTACGTACCGTGGGTCCGGCGATCGGATTTCTGTTGGGCTACGGTTGCCTAAGTTTATACATAGACCCAAAGCTCCATCCTGTTATTAACAACAAAGATCCGCGCTGGTTAGGCGCATGGTGGCTCGGATGGATCATTCTTGGCGTTACGATGGGTATGTTCGCCGTTTTGATCGCTATGTTTCCTCGCAATCTTCCCACATCGGAAGATACTTCTAAAGCATCTAAGCAGGTAATTCACATTGGACATTATAATGTTGTTAAAATTAAGAAGATATTTCATTATAAAAGACCTAAAAAAGTAACCATTAGGAATCTCTCTTCTTTAAGAAACAAGCTTAAAGTATAATATCACTCAATATCGTAGTTCTTAAGTACTTAAATTAGAAATTAATAATAAAACAGAATTAATTTACAGGTATTTGTCGTAAATATATATACATATATTATCTTACATATATGTATATTTATTTATCTCTATAAAAGTAACAATAATTCTCTGAAAAGTTCAGTCGATACTAATTTAAAAAAAAAACATCAAAGATCTTAAGTGTCAAATCAAAGATCAAAGATATTTTTTTTAAATTAAAAAGATAAATATGTAGACGATATGTACGACTTGCGGAGGATTGCAGATCCCCATAGATTGATTAACAGAAATATTTCGCTTCAGGATGGCGAAGTACCTTTGAAGTTAGATTTAGTGAAGCAGCAGAAGCCTCCGATCCAGAGGGAACCTACGACGAACCCGATACCCTTAGAAACTGAGTACACACCGACACTTCGTGAATTTCCAAAAGCCGTGAAACGGCTGTTAACGAACCGGCTGTTGACCTGCAACAATTTAAGCGCTGTATTTTACATTCTCGGCGCTTCTGCCTATATCACGTTTGTGGCGAAGTACCTTGAAGTCCAGTACAATCTGTCCGCGGCTGGCGGTACCGTTATAGCAGGTACATACAATTAATCCACAAGAATGTATATTAATCACTTCACGTTATCTTATGAGATATATCACACGATTACGGCGGGATTTAGTCGCTACTAGCAACGCTTTTATGATTTACTTGAAGATAATTCAAGCGTAAAGTGATTTCCTCATTATATATATTTCTCTGCTAAAATTAATTCTCTTTTGCGACGAAAGAAATACGCTTGGTTAAAATACAATAATTATATAAAGGTCAAATTGTACTAGCGATTGCCTGCGATTGGACTGCGATTGCGATTAAAAGAGAACGTGGTCTAAACGGCAATTCCTAATCTCAATCGGTGACTGCTTTGCTCCGATTGGTTGAAAAGCAATCGCAATCGCAATCCAATTGGCAATCGCTAGTGATTTAGGCTTAACAACAATTATATAATTATAACATGCGTTGCCTCATCCGAATTTATAGGTCCCGTATCGCTGATTGGTATGATATTAGGATTTCTGTTATCGGGATTTGTAATTAGCAAATTTAAACCCGGCCCGAGACCGCTCCTCGGGTGGAACGTGATCGTCGGTATTTGCTACATTCTGGGACAAATATCGTTCATATTTTTTGGCTGCCAAGACAGCGTTGGAATCCGCGGTGTAGACTTGCAGACTATGCAGTGAGTACTCTTACGAAATTTGATCTTTCAATAAAGATCACACGAATTAGCATTTCACCGTAATTAATAATAATATCGCAATTCGATGTACAATTTTTATGTGTACGCAGAATGAACTTGACAGAAGCTTGCAACGCCGATTGCAATTGTGCAGGCATCAAATATTCGCCGGTCTGCCACGAGGCGTCGAGGACAACTTTCTTCTCCGCCTGTCACGCGGGATGTCAAACGATCCTGGACGACAAGCAGTTCGGAAACTGCAGTTGTCTGCCGTTGGGCGAATCGAACCGCTTCGATTACTTCAGCTCCGGTAAGGCCCTCGTTATGGAGCAGCAGGTGTATCAGCTCGACTCGGAAGCAGTTCCGCCGATCTTCGACAAGGTCAAAGCCGGCCCCTGCCTCAACAACTGCACCCGGCAGTATTTGTTCTTCATGGTGATAAGCATGGTGATCAACACGCTGGGCTGTTCCGGGAGAATCGGCAATGTCCTGGTGAACTACAGGAGCGTCGAGAAGAGGGACAAGAGTTTCGCCCAAGGCATCACGCTGATGATCATCTCATTGGGGGCTCTGATTCCGGGGCCTATTATTTACGGCGCTATTATCGATTCCACTTGTTTGATATGGGAGGAATCCTGTGGGACCAGAGGAAACTGCTGGTTCTACCATCGGGACAACTTCCGATTCTTCGTAAACATCGCTGCGGTCGGTGGGTATTCCGAGTTTAACGACCTATATTTTGTCAATTGCATGTGTTTTTCCGCCAGTTGATTAGATAAAATAGGAACAAAAAAGAACTGTCTCATAGATAAGGGGTTATCGGACGACGGACAAAATAATTTTATTGATCGATTACTCATTCGAATATCATTTCGTCGTATTGATTTCGTGAGCACGATCGTAAAGAATGTTGTTTCGTCATGTTACAGGATTTACCACGATAGGGGTATTATTCGACTGTGTAGTCTGCTATCTCGGCAAAGATTTGGATCTATACGGCGCTGCGGAGAGTGACAAGAGACGCGAGTTCGTGAAGGAAGACGTCGTGATTGATAATGTGGACAAGAAGAAGGAAGTTAATGGGAATTTAAATCAAAGGACAGAGCAAAGTAGTCTATAACTGCTACTGTGTATTCGCTGCTGTCCGATAGTGGACAAATCCGATAAGATTTGTCGAATTGCTCTATAGGTACCTGAAATTCCGGAGCTTTTGTGACTGACGCTGAACATTCCGATGATTTGCAGATAGTGCAGGAGCCAATCGTGTAAATAATATTAATATAATACATCTTGATTGATAAACGCTCAAGTTTTTAGATACTCGGAATCGAAAGCTACGTGCTATCGTTGTTACAGTTTCGTTGTTCAACGTTTAACTCCGAATCATTTCTATTTCATTGTAAATAAATTATGCTTATTTTTTTTTTTTGTTAATACGTTATTACCCTCACACTTTATCGCGTCCTGTTTCACCTTCGCAAATTTTTAATTTTTACTTCCCATTGGCAAAGAGTTGTCGTTTTATTAAAACCTTTCTTTACACGTATATAGTTCTGTAAAAATTTTTTTTGTACGTTAATTATTATTTTCATATCCGCAATTTTCGGCCAAGTAAAATTGAACGAGCCGTTGTTTTGATACAAGAATATTCACTCTTCGTTGCTTTATCGCTCTCACGAAATCTCCCGCAAGCGGAATATAACGCGGCGCGAGACGAAAGGGTTTATTCGAAAAACTACACTGTGGATCGGTGACTCGACCGTGCTCGCTCCTCGGCTTTAGAATGAGTGGGGAAGAGCGTCGAGACGGTGGAAGGTGGAGGCAAAGTCTCAGGGCTTGTCTTCAAGCCACCGAAATTCGGGGGTTCGGCGGGGGCATACGGGCTACTGCCGGACGGAGGGATTACATCCCACGAGGCTGAAGGTAAAAAGGGAGTTTTTGTTTGAGAGCCTTTTAATTTTTAAGCCCACCCAACTAAAGCGGGCGGCTTGGCCCCGTGTAATGAATTCCGCGACGTTCCCGTGACGTCAGGTCGTCCCTATCGATCGCATCCTTTGGAACACCATTAGAGGATGCGCTTCGGCATTACGATTAAGCGTTCCACCTTATTCCATCGCAAATAAGGAAAAATGAGGTCTGCGAGGCGGCTAGCAACGTCTGCACACTGACGAGAATGAGGATTCGTTGATAACGATGAAGCGAAATATCTCGATTTTCAGAATTTATGAAAAATTCTCTATCGATCTTACTTTATTAATTTAATTTCATTTTAAAAAATATGTGTCTTAGAAAGAAGTAGCTGTTTTATATAATGTACATATAATTAGTACACAGAAATAATTTTTTCTTTTAATTATCTTACACTTTTAAAACTGAGATAGATTTATATATATACATATATATATATACACACACATTATATATTGTTCATTTTTATATTTTATATCCTTTAAGTATTAAAATTTTTCAAATATCTAGATTATGAAAAATATATGCACTTACTTAATACATGCAAATTTTTATTATAAGACATTGTCCATAAAAAGAAATTGAAGCTATCACTTCGCGCCTCATCCTGGTATTGAGAAGTTTTGCTGTTGTGTGTACACGGTTGCATTGTGCATGACCCTGACCCATCTTTCATATAGACCTCATCAACGTCTTCTAAGTCGCGGTACAGTCCGATCAGGCTAGAAGCGAGACTGCCCGATAGAGAAGGACAGAAGCGTATATGATATAGATGACCGGAAGCAATCGGTTTACTCACCTTCCACTACTTCTAAGCTTAAGAATCGAGCCGCTTTTATTATCGATTACGCTGGATTCATCTCGAGGACTTCTTTTTTTTCGACGAGAACACGCGGATCATGATACATCATGATGCTCGACCTGCTCGACGTAGCATCCTTTTCTTTTTTTACTAAAAAAAAGTTACATTTTTCCGTAAAAATGCAGATGCGTGTTAACATGCAACGACACAAACTGGGCAGACAGGTAGCGTAAAGAGCTAATCCCGAGTAAAGGAATTCCGAGCTGAGCTCGAGAAAAATACTTGACCATTACCTCTGCTGTAATAATAATGATACTAATGCAGCTCATCCGGCGTTCCTTCTGCCATTCTACGAATGCTGCGTAATTTACAAACGCAAGTGGGTTGTGCCGTTTAAAGCTCCTGACGAAATTTGTCCATGTGCCAGTGAGGTAACCTTGTACTTTGTAAGTTAACTTATCACGTGTCAGTGGGATATCATACAAAGAGAGAAATTGCAACAGAATTGATACGTGATATCGTGCAAGTAACACAGTGTCCCCGAGCGTAAATATATATTTAATGGATTATTGACACCGGGCAACGTTTGAATGAGAACAGTGTAATGTAATCATTCTCTACTTTAATCCAACTTAATTTTCAAATACAATTACATAATTTATAAAAACGTACTAAGAATTGTTTTGTTATCTTTTTCTAATTTTATTCAGAGTTACTTGTCGCTATTTTTCAAATTGCCAGTAATAATTTATTATTATTTTTTTATGTAAATTATTAATAATCTTTAAAACGTTAGCGCATACAAAGTAAAAATGCACTATAATATAAAATGTTCGTAGATTCGAAATCTCGCGGAGAGTTTCTTCAATTTACCGCCTCGGTCCAAAAAGGTGGCAGCCTTCGAGTGATATACACGTTTACAGGTTGCGTAAACATCTCGCCAAGAATCATGCAAATACAGAGTTTATAAATCACAGTGGATTTTAGTTTTTTTTTTTCAGCAATGGGAGGCGTCTCGCCAATCTTAAACCTGGTCAACGTCACGCGATTCGAAGTGTCATAAATCTGACGGTTACAGTACATTGTAAAGAGCATGAACCTGGGTTCTGTGTATTAAGTTTCACATTCATTCAAATAATATTTAATAGTTATATTAACAAAAACAATCAGAAGATAAAAATGTCCAGAAGTAGCAGAATGTATATTCACTGTTGATTTGGTGATAATCAAGAAAGAATTCTGTAATTGCGTGAAGGCTACGTGAGAGAGAACGAAGACCTAAGATAATATATATTCTGTAGCTTATAACGAATTTTTGCGCAAACAACTATGAGTTACATGAAGAATAAGATGCATCTCCTACAGCAATAGCTTTTAACGTGTCGGCAAATTGATATCGAGTATTTCTTCGAAGTTTTATTTGCGTACATCGAAAGGTAGATCGAAGTTTCCAAGAAATTTGTGTACACACGGTGTATTCCTTGGTGTATTTATGATGTTCTTATCGTAGATGTAAATTTTCATTTGTCTTGGCAGGTTTGTGAGCAGGCAAATACGGCTAGGAAGACATTTCTTGCAAATCACGACGACTGTCGGTTTGCGAAACGAAATTACGGCTAATTCGGTATCATTCAACTGACAACTCGATCTCACGAGTAAACGATCGATTTTTATGACTTTTTTAGATTCCCCATTTTATAAACGTCCAAAAAAGGTTTTCATTTCAGAAATATTTAAAAAATTCTCTTGTTGCACGAAATCATTTTTTTTCAACATTAATAGAAATTTACACATACAGGAGTAGTCATTTGGGTAGTCATTTAGGCATACAGATTACCGCCGTGATAAGAAAATTTGTATTAAACGTCATTTTATACTGTCGCTTCTCCTTGTGCGCAAGATGATAGCCAGACATTTATATAAGATTACTTCGAATAACAGAAATGCAGCTCTTTCTTTTTCTCTTTTCTTTTTAAATCCATCGTATGATAACGGTATCTTATTTAGGGCAAATAAATTGAATGCTAACTGAGACGAAGAGATAAATGTAAGGGAAACACGAAGCTTAAACCTATCAACAATTATTGATGATAATTCGAAAAATACTCGCTCGAGACTCAATCGTGAATCCAACAACGCGGTCCTAACACTCGGGGCGCTTGGAGACCTGGCCCGCGCGTCGGCGAGTGTAAAAATTAAACTTCGGCAATTACCCGTCAGCTATTAGCGACATAGCTGTTTGATGTATGCCATTAGCAATGCGCGGGAATAGACGGAAGAGTTTACCGAGTGCCTATGTGTGCGCGCGTGTGTACATCACGTCGGCTCTATTAAATCATAATGGGTCCACAATGTGAGCCTCTGCTCCCGGAGGTTGACTAGAAACGAGCTTAGACAACACCGTACCGAAAGCCAAGACCTCGTGCACGTCGCGGAATAGCTCCCGATAGGGATGCCCCGTTTTACCAACGCCGTGAGGTTTACCAGGTAGAACAAGTAGCTTTCGAAGGGTGATACACATATACACACATGTACACGTATTTCGACAATTTTCCCCTTGTCATGCTATCGAAATCCAGACATTGTAAAATAACGTACAATCATCGACACAATCAATATAATATACTGAATATTATTATAATACACTTCTGATCTTATATACGTACGTATAATGAAATAATAACACGTGTATAGAAAGTGTTTTGTAATTAGTGACATCATTAAAAATTAGGTAACCGTTGAAGGTAACCAGTGACCCGGAAATGCCTCGAGAATGAACTTTTGAGCGAAGCTTGAGTTCAGTGTTGTGGCAATTAATTTATTAATAACTCACAGGTAATGATTATAAGAGGTGCTCGGAAATTAAGCCGCCAGGCCGCAGTAGCAGCAGCAGATCGTAAGACGTGCTTTATGGCTTCGCCATCTGATTCGTACATCCAATTTCGCAATAGCACCGAGGCGCCGAGCGCTTACCCCGTTAATTGCTCTTTTTCTGCGTAGGAGTCAACCGTAGCGGGAGGAGTGCGAGTCCCTACTTCTTTTTCGGACATCATTCTCACAGGTGTAGGGTTATCGGATAGACCAAGATAGATCGAGCCGACGACATTCGTGGACGACGAGGACGGCTAGTTCTTCAGACGTGGGAGGAGGGATCGAAAGAATCCCCGCGACCGGTCTAGGGGGGAAAAGAAGAGAGAGATAACCATAAGGAAAAAGAGAGAGCTACATGGTGGAGGGGAATGGTGGAATGAGCTGATTGCGAGAGACAGAATTTACCCGCTTGATAACGACACGGTGGACACAGTAGGTACGTGTAAGAAGAGATCGTGGCTCTCTCTCGTACGATCGGCTCCTTGGAGGGCGGAAGGTGGGGATCTCTCAGTAGGCATAGAACACGGCCTGTACTCTGTTGCGCTTAGGCGCCTCAGTTGCGGAAGAATATCGCTCGTTTTCGGACGCGCATTTATATTTCGTGAGAGACCACGCTGACTCGCGGCGCGATCGATAATCGATCGACGAACCTTTTTTTTTTTTTTAAAGAAGCTCTTCGCCGTTTTTGCATCGATACTCCGTTACGGCGATCGCGATCGATTGTTCGAACTAACCCCGAGTCCATCCTGCAGCGGTAGGTGACCGCAGTTCGTGAATTTTTTGTTCACGATATCATTGATCAGTCACATAATTGAAACTAAATTCAATTTTATGTATAGAAATACGAATTTTATTATATATCAATATAACATGAAAGTATAAATTTTCTTTAATTTCCTACAACGACTCTATATGACTAACAACTCATTGTAACATTTGTAATTGTATTTAAATAAAAATTACGCAGTTCATGTACTTGTAACATAATCACGTCTTTATATTTTTGTAATTTTTTTTATCAATGTCGTTCACAAAAATATTAGTCCAATAATACAGTTTCAACACGCACAGTCTGATATTTTGTCCCTGTATTTAGTGTCTGAGATTGTTGAACAAATATTATTTTCAACTCGATTCAAAGCTTAATTCTTTTTATCAATATCATAAATAAATCATACCGCATAAATCATCGTGCCGCACGCGCGATAATTAATTGTACCCCCAGATTCCCTGGTGTAGGTGTTGCCCGGGCCGAGACCAGGTCGAAACATGGAGAACACGTGACCGCGTAATAAAGTGACGGGACACGAGGGACACAGTGCGAGAGGAAGAAAGAGTAGATTCCGCGAGTGAAGCCGCGGGGGCGAGTCCGGACCGAACGAAAAAGCGATGCCAAGAGCCGCGAGGACGATCAAGTCACATCGGTACCGTGCGACCCGCGATTGAGGTCACTGAATTCGCTCGAAGCCACTAGTGTTAGGCGCTTGTCAGTTGCCGGGCAGTCGCGACGATTAGGCCGAGGCGAAGATGAAGAACAACTCGAGCAACTCGAATCACGAGAAGAACGGGCCGGAGAACCTGAAGCTGTTACAGGTGCCGACGACACCGCCCGCGACACCGTCGTCACCCACGACGCCGACGAGAGGCATCGACGATGTCTTCAAGGAGCTGCCGATCACCGACGACACCTCGTGCGGCATATGGTGCCTCAAGGGCCCGAATCTGCAGAAGTTCGCCAACAAGAAGGCATACGTGTTTCTCTACGGTGTGCTCGGCTGCATATTTTCCGCAAGTTATGCCTATTTCAACGGCACCATCACTACCATCGAGAAGAGATTTAAAATACCCTCGAAAACGACGGGTACGTATAATGAAAAATTAGAATAGAGCAACTCTATCAAGAGTGGCTTATTCTGAAATTTAAATTCTTAATGTAACTGATTCGCTAAATATTATATTTTGCACATTTTTGTTAATTCTGTTAAAATTTTCTTAGTGTTATATATATATATAACATTTTTTTAAATTAATAATTTAATGTATTTTACATAAAAAATTTTACATTTCACAAGAGATAGCTTGCCAGTTAACAATTTAAAAAATTCCAAATGTCATCCCATGAAGATAGCTTGCAATCAAGTTTAAAATTTTAAAAGCAATGTGGAATTTAGCGTTCGCGTGAGGGATGTCATTAAACGAATTGCTACGGCACAGTTTACGCCACGTACGTACTTTCTTCTCATCACAGGCCTCATCACAGTGGGTAACGACATCTCGCAGCTTTTCATATCCGTCGCCCTGTCATATTACGCGGGAAAGGGTCACAGGCCTCGATGGATCGCATTCGGTATTTACACCGTAAGTTTTTGTCACACGCATCCACACGGATATCGATGTGTTGCGATCAATGCGCGGCGTGCATACCGCGTATTATTCGCGCGCCGTACTTTCGCGTCCGGCAAGAAACGAAATCAGCTGTCAGCACACGCCCCGAGGAACGAGCCGGTAGACGTCATAACTCACCGATTGGTCGGTTCTTAATTAAATTAGGAAGCGTTAGAATCGTAGCTACGCTCATTCATGCCTCTTGCCATCGTACTCTCGTCGTCGTGTGCTTAGCTAAGCGCTCCATTCTTCGGACAGTGAAGAGGCGCTTGCGGAATGCTCTAGATGTCGAGCAGATAGCTTGAACGTTGCTCTGCGATATATTTTTAATATGACAATAAATAATCGAAAATAACGATGGAAATGAGAAAAATGAATTTAGAATTAATAAAAAGTATCATGTCGGACATTTTAAGGCTCGCGCGGCTTGTCGATTCCGAAAATTGATAAAATAATACGTTGTTTATTTCATCAGGTAGTACTTTTCTGTTGTCTTACGATGCTGCCGCACTTTCTCTACGGACCCGGCGAGGACGCTTTGTCCCTGACCAAGGAGTACGGAGGGCAATCGCAAAGTACGCTAAATTCAAGCGTGATTCCTGACAAACATCGGAAAGTTCTCTGTTTGGGCAAAGAGAATCGCGGGATGGATTGCGAGACCGAAGATGGAAACCTCGCGCCGCAGGTGCTGCTCTTCATAGCCCAACTGGTGTCCGGGGTGGGTGGTTCTCTTTATTATACCCTCGGCGTGTCATACATGGACGACAACATACAAAAGTCGAAAACGCCGGCGCTGATCAGTTTCTCGTACTTTCTGCGAATGCTGGGACCCGCCATTGGCTACGGACTGGCCTCGTTCTCCCTGAAGTTCTACATCAGTCCGACTTTAACTCCCACTATCACGATGCAAGACCCGAGGTATGTAGGGCTAGTTTAATGATATTGTTGTGCAATTTAACGGTGATTCACATAAATTATTTGCCAAGTCGCTTATACGACACATATATATATAAATGCTTTGGAAAACTTTCTATTAATTACATCTAACAGATTTATACTAATGATATTTAAGGTGGTTAGGCGCTTGGTGGCTAGGATGGATTATTTTGGCAATTCTCCTCTTCATCTTCGCAAGCGTGATCGCTCTCTTCCCGAAGACGCTGCCGAGAGCGGCGGCTCGCAAAGTCCTGGCCCTGGAACGCAACAAATCGGCCGCCAGCATCAAAGAGCAAGAGTCGGAGCTACCGGCGTCGATCTCGGACATGCTGAGAACGTTTAAGCGGCTGCTGACGAATACGACGTTGATGTGCAACAATCTGGCGACGGTCTTCTACTTCATGGGCTACATGCCCTACTGGATCTTCATGCCGAAGTACATTGAGACCCAGTACAAGCAATCGGCGTCCGTCTCGTCGTTGATCACCGGCACGGTCGGCTTGGTGTTCAGCGCCTTCGGGATTCTACTGTCCGGCCTGATCATCTCCAAGTACAAGCCGAAGGCTAGATACCTGGCGGCGTGGAACGTCATGATTGGCATAATATCGATATTGGGAATGATCTCTTACGCCTTTCTCGGCTGCTCGGCGAACGACAACCAGATCGCTATTCAGCCGAACGGCGTACTGAAAACGCATCTACCCTGCAACGAGCATTGCCACTGCGACTACGTCACCTACAATCCCGTGTGCTCCGAACACGGACAAACGTTTATATCCGCGTGTCACGCCGGCTGCCGCGGCATGAAGGTTCGATATCATTCTGCGCAATCTCTGTGATCCCGCGAGACCTCGCGAATCTTAGGACGAGATTTTTTTCTGTGATTTCTATCAAATGTACATTTATCTTTTCTTCTCTTCTTCAGCTTTACAGTAACGGCAGCGAAGTGTACACGGATTGCAGCTGTGTCAAACCGAAATTGGCTCGTTCCCTGGCGCATCCGTTCGCCAACATTACATCCTTCCCATTCTCTACCGAAGTCCCACTGGAGACGACCGAGCCCACCGTGGAAGCTTTGGGAACGGCTATTCCGGGTTCGTGTCCGGTCGACTGTATGCAGAAGTTCTACATCTTTCTGGCGGTGGTGTGCCTTTTGAAGTTTAGCGGCGCAACCGGTAGAGCGTCGAATTTCCTCGTTTCCGTGAGATGCGTCGACGAGAAGGACAAGACCGTTGCCATGGGCTTCGGATTGATGATAATGAGCCTCTTCGCCTTCATACCGTCGCCCATTTTGTTCGGATTTATATTAGGTTAGTGATAAACTTTATTTGTATACGCGCGGTTAATAACATTGGCACACAGATCACCTGACGTTATATTATCAAATAGCAAACAAAGCCCTCGACGTATTTATTTATTTTTTTCAGTAGCATGATTTTGTAAGTTATTATTGAAAATGTACTCCATGTATCTCTGTGTTTAAACATTTGATCACGCACTCTTTAAGTTGGAAACTAATTAATATTTTATCTTTTAGACAAGACCTGTCTCGTATGGGGTAAAACTTGCTCAGGGACGGGAAATTGTTGGCTATATAACGGCGAGGCATTGAGGTATTTGCTGAACTTCACCGCGGCCAGTGAGTATCTTGCAAAAGCGATCATATCCAAGAAATTGCAGTTCTCGTTGTTTGTGTGTGTGTGTGTGTGTGTGTATGTCACAGTCTCTCTCTGTCACTTTAGGTTTCGTAACGATCGGTACGCTGTTCGACGTGGGCGTTTGGTATTTCGTCAAAGACGTGAAGATCTTCGACGAGGAGATCGAACTGGAAGACATAGCCGAGGAACCCGGTGAGACGCTTTAAAAGAATAATTGATGATCAAGTTCAATCAACCCTTTCGGCGTATGCCGTTATTATACGCGCGCGCGAGAAGAGACTTCGAACGAAGATCTTCGAGTAGGAGCGAACGACGAACGACGAAGCGAGCGAGAACCGACAAATAAAGACTTTACAAGTACCTTAAGCACCTCTTTAGCTATTTAAAGCTCGTAGTAACCTATAGATAGAACCGACTGTTGATAGATCACCCATGATGTTCGCGAGAGAAGAGCGAACCGCCGATCTTTTTGTTAATTTTAATTTACTGCGATTAATGATTTTTAACGGATGAATTCATAATTTGTTATACGTGTACGGATACTTGCTTTATCTCGGACTCATATTTGGACGGAAAATAACGGGTGCCAAATTAATATATAAGGTATATATATATATATATATATATATTCCGGACACATTGCTTACACTGTCGATAGTGAAAACAATGATTTATGCTAGCGTGAATTATCTATAAAGTTAAATAATTGTACATATAATAATTATACTCTTTAAATTAGTAAAAAAGGAACACGTAATTTATCTGTTCATGAAATACAATGTATCTGCTGTTATCAACTGTTAGAAGACATTTTAATCTTATGTGTAAGGTGGTACTATAAAACAACAAGAACTCAGAGGTGGACGAAATAATCCATGAAATTAGAATAGATTTAAAATCGTGTAATAAATATCAAAAGGATCGTAATACACACGTATTGCGTGTTATATACGCGTTATGTTTTACAAACGATAACTACGAATCTGGAAGTATACCATGAAATATATAGCAAACGTTTTATTAGTCGGTTATCCTTTATTAGATGTGTTCGGAGTACTCATGGATAAAAGGTATATCTTTATCAATCGCAACTTATCAATTCTGCATGATAATTAGAGCAACTTGATATTACGATTCATAATTAAAGGAAAGTGTACATAAACTTTTACTGCTCACCTATCAAAACATAAAGTTAAATCGGTGGTTTTATATCTTGAACACGACAGGTGTCAGAGATAGTATCGTGTAACGTTGTGTACTTTTGAAGTTAGGGCCTCTTATCGCACGTAGATATAAATTTATCGTGATAGTGTGTCTATTCTATTAATGGACACCTCCCATAAATTGCAAAACTACGCATCGTGTTTTCACGTGTCATGCGTCTGTCACGTAAGAGCGATATTCGTAATTCTAAAGATCGGTTTGATGCGCCGCTTTGCTGGCTTTAGCGACATTTTTCGGACTGGATGTCCCGAGTCTCTCCGAACGCGGGTCGGAGCTCTTGTCCTGCACATCTGGCAAGCTGCCGAAGCCTGAAGAGGATTGTCCTCGAGAGGATGACCTACCGGGAACCATGGCTACCAGAGGTATGCCCAACTTGCTCTCAGGTCGACTCCTCGTGTCCTCCGTCGACTTCATCGACAACCGATCTTCGTCTAGAGTTTCCTGACTCGCGTTTTGCTCGTATCGATCGATCAGCGTCTTCACGTCCTTCAAGTGCGCCGTGTTGGTACTGCCGGCCGAGTTGCCTTTCTCGTCCGAAAACGGATCCACTATCGGTATGCCAACCTCGTTGAAGTCGCCCTGTTTGGGCACGTCGCTCACTTGACCCTTCTTCGCCAACTCGGAAGTACTTGTTTTCGTGGAATCGTCCTGATAACCTGTCGGCTTCTTGAATCTGGAATTTCGCGGATCCTCATAGTGATCGGGATTTGGAAATCGGCGTTTTAGAGACGTGTTCCTCGATGAGGGACGATCGTTCTCGTCATGAGTTTGATCGTAATCCTTGCTCGGGACGCGCTTTCTCGATCTAGGACCGACGCTGCTGAGATCGCTCTCGACGTCAGAGTCGAGTTCCAGTGGCGCGTAAGCGACTTGCGTAGTCGACCGTTTCTTACTCTCGTCGCTTGAACTGTCGAGCTCGTCCTCAGAGTCGAGATTTCGGATCATAGATTGCGAATTGTGATTTGTTGCGGGATTTGAAGTCGATCGATGATTGTATGGGACCATCATGCCGTTCAACTTTATAGGTCTGCTCTTTTGAGTATCTTCTTCTTCCTTCGGTGAATTTTCCTCCGGTTCTGCTGCCTCCGATACTACTATTCTTGATTCTGGTTCAACATTCGCCTGCACTTGTCTCATTTCATCTGCAAATATTCCCATGTATTTGTTGTATATTTGTTTTTTTAGTGCTAATTTTACGGAAAAGAGAATTAATTTATTTGGTAAAAAAAAAAGAACTTTAATTTTTTTTACGGAAGAATTAAATTTAATATTTAAAAAAAAACTTACTATTTGAGGTTTCGAGTAATTCGGTTATTGTTGCTGGTTCAAAATCTTGTAGCTCACGTTCTTGGTCTTGAACGTCAATTTCTTCGTACAAATGTAATTTCTTGCAGAAAAACCAAACAATAATTTTGAACAAAAGACAAAGTGATAAGAATAGTATTGTTAGGTAACACAGATAATTCCCGAGCTTCTCAGAATCATATAAGTGACAAATTATCTTTTGACTGCCCCAATATTGACACGCCTGACGCGAGACGAAATCATAAAGAATTTTGGCGGGAACATAAACGAATATTGAGAGCCACATCATCCAGAAACCTATGCTGATAGATTTATCTTGCTTGTAGACGGATCTTATGTTGATCAATAAGTCTCCTACGAAAGTGGAAGCGATTAACACGTACGCTAATAAAGATCCAAACTGAAACAAGAACAGATAGAAAGATATTTCATTCGGTGCAATTGATTAGATAGCAAAAAATTTACACGATATAAAATATAATTGATCATATAATTATATAATAAGTACAATTAATGAATTATTATTATTAATTACTATTAATTATTATTAATTTAAAAACGAAACGAAGATATAATCACCTCAAAGAGCATCCAGCCAGCCTGGCATCTAGTCGAATCACACGGGCCATCTTTCGCTTGATCGGTAGTCCACATTGTCATCTCCTTCACGCAGGTGCAACCGCTATAGGTCTTTACGTTATCGACATAAGTAATTGTGGAGCAGCCGGCATAGCAAGGACTGTAGTACGTGAATCTTCCCAAGCTGTCGCAAATCGGTCGGAAATCGGCGTCCTTAGAGCAACGACAGTATCTGTTGCAATATCTCAACAATGAGTCCCTGCAAAAGCGTCAGTTAATAAAATTGATACAATACGTTATCCTTTTATTTTTCATGTTATTATCAATATTCAATAAACACTAATTCTATATATCGGCTTGTACTTACGAGCCTTTCTCTAAATCGGCGATAGGTGGTTTATCGCAAGTATCAAAAATTAGTGCGATAATAATCGCCACTGTCACTAGCACGATAACGGAACTGTAAGCAATAATAAATCTCGCTCGTGGCCTTCCCTTAGCTATTACTAGGCCACTGATGATTATTGTGAGTCCAATCAGAATGGGTCTTATGATATCTAGAATAAAATGTGAATATTGCACTTATTTTACATACAAATTATTTCAACTCTTATGTAATATTACAGTTAAATTTTTTATAATATCCTGTGACTTGGAAATTACATATTTATATTTTTGAAGTCTCAGTAAATTTAATCATTGTTATCCATTTATCAAGAAAAATTATTTTACACATAAGTAAAAAAATTATTAGGTTGTAAAGAAATAAACATTTGCATTTAATTTAACATTCTCTCTTTTACAGAATGTTAAATAGAAAGAGAAGTTTAGTTTTTTTTTGTTTCTATATAAAATGTAACTATTGATAGTTATTTCATGGCATGTCCGAAGAATTAATTTAAAATGATCGCTCTAATCTCTCGTTTTTTCCTTCTTCTATGTGTATATTTGTTAAATATCGATTAACCCTACTGGTAATTAGTCTGGAAGACAGAGGATCGTCGAATCCACGGAACATTCCCGTCGGTCTAGGTATCTGAAATCTGGACTCTAAGAAGATGTCCTCATGCGTCATAAAATTTAGAAGCGCTATGGTGCTGAACACCGTTGCCAGAATGTTGCATATTAAAATCTTGTTAGTAGTCAATCTGCATAATGACGGCCAAAAATTGGGACTGCCGACTTTTTGACTGGTTGTTCTGTGGGGTGCTCGGTTATATACCGTAGTCCGATTGAGAAGTGAAGCTGCGGCTTGCTCAACAACCTAGGGCAAAGTAAGTGTAATTATGTTAAGCTAGAAAATATTTTTAGAGAATATAATATATTATATATAGCACATAGTACTATTATTAACTCGAAACACTTGCGTTATAAAATCTTATATAATTCCAATTAATTTAGAAATTTATGTTATGTTATACTATTGAGGGTAATCTTCTTGGGAACCACGAAACCAGCAAGCCCGGAATCACCAATAATATAGCGAGAATTGGAAATCCAAGCCACCAGGCCCCGATTTGATCCTGATATGATTTTATAACACTGAAATCTTCCGCGTCTATCCTGGGACGCGAGTCGATAAGTTTAAAAATAAATATATGTTTATTCGGGTCTGTTTCATAATGTGCAATAAATTCTTAGAAATTGCAAAAGTAATAATAATCATGATATTTAATAAAGGATATCGTAATAGACACTTACCGAAGGCATCCCCAACCCAAAATGTACCCGAGAAGAATCCCGATGATCTTTACGGCGATTATTACACCGATGTAATTAGTTACACCCTTCGTACTTGTATTATCATCTAAGTAAGAAATTCCTAGTGCATAGTATGCGATATTTGCCGTCCCACTTGTGATTAGCACTAGGATTAAGATGACTATAGTAAAGTAGCAGGTTTCGTCCTCCTCTGTGATGAGCCACGATAATGATCCGGAAGCGCATAATTCTGGACTATCGTCTGTAAAAATTTAAAATCTTTAACATAAGAAAAATAATATTTTGTTCGTTAACAAATCAAATGCGTAAGTTAAAATTACTCTGTTTTAAAATTTTATTGCACATAGTTTGCTCACTAACCCGCGTACAAAGATACATGCGTGACATTTTGCGTTTCTTCAATCACGCGGACGCGATGTGTTAAATGGGGTATTATCAAAATGAAGTGCGAGACGCTTTGTAAAAGAGTTAAGGCTCCTATCCACGAAGCTCTGTGTATTTTGTCGCCCCAATATGCTACCACCAATCCTAATGGAACAGGCGTTAATTCTGCCACAACAAGAATCCAATCTGAAAATGATACATTTTTTGAGAAATATATAATATCTATATATGTTACACGGAGAGAATTTTTTTTTAAATTTACCCTGCAAATCATGTTAATTATGGGACAATATCTGTCTCTTATACACA